ATTTCTCTCCTGATGGCGACTGTCTTGTCATCTGCTTATGGGACACCTGTCCATCTCTTGGAGAAATATCTATTCAAGTCCTCTACTCATTTTACACAGAGGGGGAGGCAGAAAGAGAGAGAGAGAGAGAGGTCTTCCATCCGCTGGTTTACTCCCCATATGGCCACAACAGCTGGAGCTGTGACGATCTGAAGCCAGGAGCTTCTTCCAGGTCTCCCATGCGGGTGCAGGGGCCCAAGCACTTGGGCCATCGTCCACTGCTTTCCCAGGCCACAGCAGAGAGCTGGACAGGAAGTGTTGCAGCCGGGGCTAGAACCAGCCCCCATGGGGATGCTGGCCTTACCTGCTAGGCCACAGCACAGGGCCCTTCATTCATCCTTCAATCGCACCGTCTCCCATGGAGCTGCGAGAGTTCTTGGCAGTCCAGGAGCACATGCAGACCCACGAGTTGGAAACGGTTTTTCCCACGCACTGCCTTTCCACTTTCTTGATGAAATCCGTTAGGGCACAAAAATTCCATTTTTATTTGATGTGGTCTCTTTAAAACCACTGCCTGATTCAAGGTCAAGACGACTGATGCCGACTTCTCTTCTAGAGCTGTAGTCTCAGCTCCTACATCAGGCTTGGGCGTCCTCTGAGCTGATGTGCAGGACGGTGCGGGGGAGGGGCCCACTTCTCGCTTGCCCAATTAGCTCTCCAGGCGTCTCGGCCCCATTTGCTGAAAAGTCTTGCTCTTTCTCCACGGAACCACGTGGCGCCCCTGAAAACCCACGGATTAAATGTGGAGCCCCAGTTCCGGACTCTACTTGATTCCACTTATCTCCCGGGGCTGGGCCAGGCCAGAGCCAGGAGCCTCCATCCAGGTCTCCCAGGTGGGTGCAGGGGCCCAAGTACTGGGCCTCCCTCTGAGCTTTCCCAGGTGCGTTAGCAGGGAGCTTGGTCGGAAGTGGGGCAGCCGGGACTCGAACTGACAGTCTGGGGCGCTGGCCCCAGTTCTCTGTCAGGGGTTTGGGCTCTTCCGGTCCCTTGGGTTCCACATGAATTTTGGAACCAGCTAGTCAATTTCTGCAAAGCAGCCAGCTGGAGTCCTCCGGGGGCTTTGCTGAGCCTGCTGACTGGTTGGGACAACGCCATCTCAGCGATGCCCTCTGACGCGTGACGAGCTGGCCTCCTGCTGCTCCCGTTTTCCTCCATTGCTTTGAGACATGCCGCGTGCTGGGCAGAGCACCTCCCCACTTCACTTGCCGACTTCATTCGCGAGCCTCCATTCTGGTTTTGTGCTATCGCACTTCCAGGTTCTTCATGGCCAGTGGACAGAAATGCAACTCATTCTTCTACCCCATGTTCCCAGCTCCTGGGCAGGGAATGACCACGTGGAAGCTGTATCCCTCTCTCCCTCTCTTTCAGATAAAGGGAAAATAAATAAAACATTTAATATGAGCATAAATAGGAAGAAGACAGGAAGAAAACTGAACTCCTTAACCATGGCCCTCGGCCTGCCCCTGGACTACAGAGCACGCCCTGCCCCTTCCCATGCCCCGCCCCTTCCCATGCTCCACCCACTTCCCATGCTCCGCCCCCTCCAGGAGGCACAGAGCCTGCTGGCCCTTGGCCGCCGGCTGCTCTCTGAATCACCAATTCTTGTTGGCTCTCAAACCTGCTTCCCAGCGGCACTTGGGTAATCCTGTCACCCAAGTAAGTTCTATGGAAACTTGGAATAGGAGCTAGAGAGCAGCTGCTTCTACAAAACAGAGTCGAACGTTTTGGGAAGATGGCTGGTTGCTCAGGCCCGGACAGAGTATCAGGATATGAAGACAGGCAAGTGCTCGGCTCTGGGCTCCTGCTTCCCTGCATAGAAACAGACCCTCCCAGGGGCCGGCACTATGGCACAGCGGGTTAGAGCCCTGGCCTGCAGCACCGGAATCCAACACGGGTGCCGGTTTGTGTCCCGGCTGCTCCTCTTCCAATCCAACGTTCCTGCTAAGGCACCGGGGAGAGCAGTGGAAGGTGGCCCAGGTGCTTGGGACCCGCACCCACCTAGGAGACCTGGAAGAAGCTCCTGGCTCTTGGCTTTGGACTGGTTCAGCTCCGGCCACTGCAGCCATTTGGGGAGTGAACCAGCAGATGGAAGAACCCCCCCCACCCCGTGTCTCTACTTCTCTTTGTAACTGTGTCTTTCAAATAAATAAATTAAAAAAAAAAAAAAAAAAACAACAGACTCTCCAAAGAATGTTCTCCAAGTATGACAATGCATAAAATAATGCAGGATGTCACCCAGGGCCCCACATCGACAAAGGTCTAGGCCTCTGAATCAGGAGCTATGGGCATGGATGTTTATATCAAAATAAAGTGCTCACTACGTCTACATCGCTTTTATGACGCCGTATTTTCATTATGGATTTATTTATTTATTTGAAAGGCAGAGTTACAGACAGATCTTCCATCCACTGGTTCACTCCCCAAATGGCAGCAATGGCCAGGGCTGGGCCAGGCCAAAGCCAGGAGCCTGGACTCCATCCAGGTCTCCCACGTGGGTGCAGGGGCCCAAGCCCTTGGGCCATTCTCCACTGCTATCCGAGGTACATTAGCAGGGAGCTGGCCCAGAAGTGGAGCAGCTGGGACTGGCGCTCTGTACGGGATGCCGGCGTCGCATGTGGTGGCTCAACAGGCTAAGCACACCGGTCCCTGCGACCCGTGTTTCAACTGCCAACGCCACACCGGGGCTGGGGCACCAGAAAAGACAGCTTCCTCTGGACGCTCAGGTGCTAACAGTGGCTACCTGGCAGGTGCATCGTCGCTTTGCGTCTCATGGTTCAGTATTTGTAAGATGTTCTAAGTGAGTCTGGATGGCAGCATAAGACAATTTCTCTTCTAAGATCGGATTCCATTAATAAATGCAGGGTGCACGCTGCCCGGGGCCAAGAAAGCAGCCCAAGGCAAAGGCAGCAGACAGAGGAGACGCGAAACCGCACAGCGGCCCGCGGCCGCACGCAGCGGGGCTGCTCTCCCTGCAAGCTGGTGGGAAGAGCTGCCTTCCTCGGGCTGAATCCAGATGGACGCCTTGTGGGCCGTGTGTCGGCACCGGGAACCTAGGGAGAGAGACGAGCTCTGGACTGGGACCGACACGTGACGGCAGCACCACGCAGATCCGGAGCTCCCGGGCGGAGGCCAGAGACACACACCGCTCTGATGTGTGCAAACTCAGTGTCCGAGAGGCGCGCCTCTCCCCTACTCCCTGCAACTGAACCTGACCTTGCATTTATAGTCCCAGCACACGCTGGGCTTGTGGCTGTCTGATCACTGAATGAAGGCACAAAGGTAAGCCGAAGACGGTCCGTCGGCCACTGCTCCTCTCCTGTAGACCTGGGGTCCCAGTCTGCACCCCGACCCCGCCGTTCTCGTAACCACTGTTGCCAGTGTTTGAGACACAGCCCACTCAACCCAACTCTGTGGCTTTGATAGGGTTTGAGTTTGTCCCCAAGGGCTTGCACGTGGTGAACCTGGCCCCCAGCGTGCCAACGTGAGAGGTCTGGACCTTAATAGTGGGAGCCCTGGGAGGTGGCCAGGCCACTGTGGGTACCAGCTTCTAAAGGGCTAAGTGTGGGTCTCCCAGAGTGAGCGCGGCCCTGCCAGGGACAGGGGACAGCGAAGAGCCTGACCCCGCACCTCTCGGGCTTCCTGTCTCCACGTGCTCTCTCTGCCTCTCGCAGGCACCCCCACTGTGACGCCATCTGCTATGCAGTGACATGGCCGCGGTGGGGGCGGGGGACCTGGCCAGAGCCCAGCAGAGGCAGCGCCAGGCCCTAGCACCTGTCCTCTGTTCTTTAGGAATGGCCCGGCCTCGGGCATGGCGTTCTGCCGACAGAAGCGGGGTGACCCATCGGCCCCAGTGAACGTGGACATGAGAGGAAGCGACGGGGAGGGGTGGAGCCCCTGAGCAGGAGGTGGACTCAGCCACATGCTCGGGCCAGGCTCCGCTGTGCAGCTCAGAGGTGCAAAGCAGACCCCGGGGGGATCCCAGCCTCCCCCAGATGCAGAATAAAGGGAGCCGCAGTGCCACGGAGCTGGGGTAGGCCACGTGTCCTGTCCCGGGGTGGGCGGGAGCCAGCAAAGGACACAGAGACTGAGTGGGGGGCCTGACACCCCTCATGGGGTCCCAGAACCTGGGGCGGCAACAGGGGGCAGGGGCGGCCATTTCACACCTGCTTGCCTGTCCACCTTCCCCTCACCTTGTCCGCACCTGGGCTGGGGCCTGGGGCCTGGGGCCTGGGGCCTGGGGCGATGACCACTGCGCCAGCAGCCAGCTCTGGAGGGCACCACCCCACACATACACTGTGAGGTGCTCAGAAGGGCGGGGCGGGGTCAGAGTGACCGGACCACGGACGGATGGGCGACTCTGCCTGGACAGCGGGCGGCCGCCGCAGGGGCCCTTGGTGGGAGGCTGCCTGCCATTGGTCAGCGGAGAATGGCTTGGCCGGGGCCAGGACCCAGGGCTGACGGAGACCGCTGAAGGTGGACGCCAGGCGGGTGGCGCGTGGTGTACCAGGGAGCGCCCTGTCCCTCCGGGGAGGAAACCACTGACCCTTTGAAATCTGCTTTATGTAAATGGCTCCTTAAGGAATGAACAAAGAAGCAAGCAAATGGCTCCTGCAGGCAGGACAGCTTCCTGACTCAAAAGGGGAGGGGGGCACCCCAGACACTGAGGTCCTGGGGGAGGCTCCAGCGCTGGTCCCAACAGGGGGCTGGGAGGGGTCTGCCCCTCCCTCTCCCCCCAGGCCTGGGCGGGGGCTGCTCCCTCTGCATCTCCAGGCTCTCCCAGACCTGCAGCTGGCTCCACCTGGCCACCCTGCCCACAGCTCCAGAGACACCGCCAGTGTCACCTGCCACTGTCCTCTGACTGCCCACCTCCAGCGTCCTGCCTGGGAAGCCACTGGGCTGGCTCTGGTGAGGGGGGACACTTGATGACCACAAGCGTCGCACCCCTTGGCTCCTCCCTCCCCTCCCTCCCACACACACACATGCAGACGGGCCCAGCAACTCAGTGTCGCCCTGGGTAGGCCACCTGGGTGCCCAGGCCCCTCAGGGAACCGCCCACACTGGGGCAATGGGTTTTCTGTGGCTGCCCACTCAGTGGAGACGGCGGTGAGTGGTATAAATGATTAACTTGTTTTCCAGTTTCATCATGTTTTCTACGTGTTCTCTGGTGACCACGCATGTGCCACATTCTGGCACTGTGGCAGAGTGGTTAGCCGCCACCTACAGCACCAGCATCCCATATGGACACCGGTTCCAGTCCCGGCCGCTCCACTTCTGATCCAGCTCTCTGCTGTGGCCTGGGAAAGCAGTAGAAGATGGTCCAAGTGCTTTGGCTGCTACACCCACGTGGGAGATCTGGAGGAAGCTCCTGGCTCCTGGCTTTGGCCTGGCCCTGCCCCGGCCATTGTGACCATTTGGGGAGTGAGCCAGCAGAGGGAAGACCTCTCTCTCGCTCTGTAACTCTGCCTTTCAAATAAATAAATACATCTTTAAAAAATTTTTGAAAAGGTGATACACAGCACCACAGCCAGACACACGCACGCACGGCCGCCTTCTGAGCCGCCAGCAGGCTGCGTGGTGGCACCGCGACCCCCCCACGCGTGAGTCGAGGACGCAAGACTTGGACCTGCCCACGGCTGCCCCACGAGCGAGGGCAGAGGGTGAGGGGACGGAATTCCCACTGAGCCCCACACACGCACACGCACGGACACACACACGTGCACACACGTGCACACTGGGAGCCGAGGGGCGAGGGCTGCGTGTGCGTGTGTGTGCAGTGCGAGAAGCCAGGCTTACTCATTTGATGATAAAATATTTCTGAGCCGCCAGATGGTGGATTGCGGCTGCAGACGCCCCGATGGCTTCTCTCCACCGCTCTGCAAGGGCTCCGAGAGCGACATCCAAGAAGCGGCTCGGAGTCCCAGAGACACGTGGCAAGCGCAGAGGCTGGCCCTGCATTGCCAAGGAGCTGCCCGCTCCTCGTCCTGGGGCCCCCAGCTGGCACGCGGCCTGCCCGGGCAGGGCCTGGACGCAGGCTCCGGGACATAATTAGTCCTCGGCTCGGAGCCGCCGTGCACCCTTGCGGACGGCTGGCGGAGGGAAGGCGCCCCCGGTCCCCGAGCAGGAGCCACCGGGACTCCGAGATCTAGGCCACGGAGGGGCTCTGCGCAGCGCTGGGTCACCTGCGTGGTCTGTCCTGCCACACACGGCTGGTTCTGTTTTTAATAAGGGGCCTTCATCGCCGTTTCTGTGACAGCTCAGTGACCTGGGCACGCGGGGTCCCCAGGGGGCGCCGGGGCCAGGTCAGCCCTGCAGAGAGCTGGCTTCCCCCCGCTGCAGCTCCTCCTCCCGCTGCAGCTCCTCCTCCTGCTCTAGCTCCTCCCCCCACCCCAGCTTCTCCTCCTGCTCAGGCTCCTCCTTTGGACCCAGCTTCTCCCACTCCAGCTTCTCCTCCTCCCACCCCAGCTTCTCCTCCTCCCACCCCAGCTTCTCCTCCTCCCGCTCCAGCTCCTCCTCCTCCCACCCCAGCTTCTCCTGCTCAGGCTCCTCCTTCGGACCCAGCTTCTCCCACTCCAGCTTCTTCTCCTCCCGCTCCAGCTCCTCCTCCCGTTCCAGCTCCTCCTCCCACCCCAGCTTCTCCTCCTGCTCAGGCTCCTCCTTCGGACCCAGCTTCTCCCACTCCAGCTTCTTCTCCCGCTCCAGCTCCTCCTCCCACCCCAGCTTCTCCTCCTGCTCAGGCTCCTCCTTCGGACCCAGCTTCTCCCACTCCAGCTTCTTCTCCTCCCGCTCCAGCTCCTCCTCCCACCCCAGCTCCTCCTCCCGCTCCAGCTTCTCCTCCTGCTCAGGCTCCTCCTTCGGATCCAGCTTCTCCTCCCACCCCAGCTTCTCCTCCTCCCACCCCAGCTCCTCCTCCCGCTCCAGCTCCTCCTCCTGCTCAGGCTCCTCCTTCGGACCCAGCTTCTCCCACTCCAGCTTCTCCTCCTCCCGCTCCAGCTTCTTCTCCCGTTCCAGCTTCTCCTCCCACCCCAGCTTCTCCTCCTCCTGCTCCAGCTCCTCCTCCCACTCCAGCTTCTCCCACTCCAGCTTCTCCTCCCGCTCCAGCTTCTCCGCCCTCCCCAGCTTCTCTTCTTGCTCCAGCCCCAGCTTCTCCTGCTCCAGCCTTGCCTCTCTTCTCTCACCCCTTGTGCCACTCCCTACCCCACCCCAAGCGAACAGCAGAAGGCCTCCATTTCCACCCCCACCCCCCACCCCATCCAACAGCCCCTTCGCAAGGATGGGCATTGACTTTGGTTTTCAAATGCAGTTCGGTCTGGTCTGACTCTGCATGGGCTGTGTCAACCCAGCGTCAGTCCTCAGATCTCCCGGGGGCAGCAGGGGCAGCTGACCCATGAGTCTCCTCGGCCCAGGCTGTTCAGGGCATTTGGGGAGTAAACCAGCAGGCGGAAGGTGTCTCTGTTTCTCTCTCCACCCCCTTTCAAATACATACATACATACATACATACATAGATAAATAAATGCTTTAAGAGAGTGAGAGAGAGAGAGAATGAGAGGAGCCAGCACTGTGGTGCAGGTTAAGCCGCCACCTGCAGTGCTGGCATCCCATTTGGGTGCCTGTTTGAGTCCCAGCTGCTCCACTTCAGATCCAGCTCCCTGCTGTGGCTGGGGACAGCAGATTGGGCCCCTGCACCTACATGGGAGACCAGAAGAGGCTCCTGGCTTGAGATGGGCCCAGCTCTGGCCGTTGCAGCCATTTGGGGAGTGAAGAAGCAGATGAAAGACCTCTCTCTCTCTCTCTCTCTCTGCCTCTTTGTAACTCTGCCTTTCAAATACATAAATCTCTTTAAAAAAAAAAAAAAGGAAAAAAGCAATCAAGAGAACAAAAGTGATATAAGGAATTAAAAAAAAAGAAACCGTTTCCCGGGATGTCTTCAGCTCTGCCACCCACAGTCCCAGCCAAGCCCTTCCCCTCCACGGCTCCCCCAGCTCCGACCACATGGCTCCCGCTCTGACCTGGCCCGAGATGAAATCCCAGGAGATGCCCAGGACGGCTGGGGTCCTGCAGGAGTGCACTCTGGGCTGTCCACCAAGCAACGCGGCAGTCACTTTGATGTGGTGACAACGTGGCTGGTGCCAGCCACACCAGATGGACATCGGAGCTGCTGGTCTCACCTGGACACGTGCTCAGCGCTGCTGGGGGAGGAGCCAGACTCTGCTCACATGTCCAGGGCCATGGGGTTCAGTCCTCAATGTGGCCGACTGGGGCCACAGGTGGCCACAAGCAAGGCAGAAGCTGAGTCTCAGGCCAGGCTGCACACCGGGGTGAGCCACGTCCCACGCCTGTGCTTCTGCCACGTGGCCTGTCCACGACGGGAGCAGGGGACATGGCGGGGAGGGATGCAAACAGTTGCATACAGGGCACCCCGGGTCCCAGCCACGGGGCAGATGGACACGGCGAGTCCCACGTGGCAGAAATGTCCCGGACAGCTGGCTCTGCGTGGGAACAGACTGCATCTGAGAGGAGAACCACGGGAGCTGAGCCTTGCTCCTTGGCCACGCCGCAGCTGACAGTGCCCGGGACACACTCACACGAAGGACCACACCCATGACTGTGACCTCTGCACCTGTGACTGTGACCACTGTACCCGTGACTGTGGCCTCTGCACCCATGGCGTGACCTCTGTACCCGTGACTCTGACCTCTGCACCCATGGCCGTGACCTCTACCCATGGCCGTGACCTCTGCACCCATGGCCATGACCTCTGTACCTGTGACTCTGACCTCTGCACCCATGACTCTGACCTCTGCACCCATGGCCGTGACCTCTGTACCCATAACTCTGACCTCTGCGCCTGTGACTGTGACCTCTGTACCCATGGCCATGACCTCTGCACCCATGACTGTGACCTCTGTACCCACGGCCGTGACCTCTGTACCCGTGACTCTGACCTCCACACCTGTGACTGTGACCTCTGCACCCATGACTCTGACCTCCGCACCTGTGACTGTGACCTCTGCACCCATGGCCGTGACCTCTGTACCCGTAACTCTGACCTCTGCACCTGTGACTATGACCTCTGCACCCATGGCAGTGACCTCCGCACCTGTGACTCTGACCTCTGCACCCATGGCAGTGACCTCTGCACCTGTCACTCTGACCTCTGCACCCGTGATCTTGACTGCTGCGCCTGTGACCATAATCATTGTACCTGTGACCTTTAAACTTGGGGATCAACAACTAAATTTTCCCCACAGTAACTAGGAAGGTTAAAAATAATTTTTTTAAGAAGAGATTTGCTTTTTTTAAAAAAACCAAAGCCTTATTTATTAGTTGAAAGGCAGAGTGAGAGACAGAGAGAGAGAGAGAGAGAGAGAGAGAGAGAGGAATCTTCGCTCTGCTGGTTCCCTCCCCAAACGGCCGCAACAGCCAGGGCTGGGCCAGGCTGAAGCCAGAAGCCAGGGGCTCTACCAGGTTTCCCACATTAGTGCAGCAGCCAGGACGCAAAACGGTGCCCTGGGCCAGCCAGCGCCAGCTCTCCCGCTGCATACGCACGCTCGCTCCCTGTCTCTCCCTCCCTCCCTCCCTCCCTTGGCAGTCTCTAGGGATCTCTGGTCCTCTGCAGCTTCCACGTCTCAAGGAGTTTCTGTCTAAGGACACGGAGCCTGGCCACAGAGAAGGCCCGAAGCACCTGGACAGTGAGGTCAGCCCGGCCGGCCGGCGTCCAGCCCACCTCCACCAGACGCTGCCTCCGGACCGTGACAAGCGGTTCATCCCAAGTTATCACACATCCGCAGCCGGAGTGAGAACTTGACGGTTCTGACGGCTCCATGGCACGGATGCCACAGTCTGCGGCCCACTCGTCGTGGGGTCCTTCCCACCCTGGAGCGACAGGGGTCACGTGCCAAAATCTTCATGTGAGTGTGGGGCCCACACTGGAAGTGGAGCTCCTGCCGGCACGCGAATTCTGTGTCTCATCACGCGAGGGACCGTGGAACCGCCTCACCGAGCCACCCAGCCGGCCACGCCCGGACGCACGCCTCTCTCCCCAACTCCACCGCCCCGGCACGGCTGCCCTCGGCTCCCGGCCTCCTGGTGGCTGCGCCCCTCTACATGACCGGCACTCCAGGCTCAGCCGCCAGCTCAGGGGTCCTCAAGACAAGCACAAAGGGTGGGCAGGAAGAGCCTTCGTGGGAAAGCTGTGGGCTCAAGAGACACTGAACCACCAACTGCAGGGGGACAGCCTCTGTCCCCAGGAAACACGAGGCACGAGGCACGAGGCACAAGGCACGGGACAGAGCCCAGCTCAGCGGCTCTCTGCCCCCAGGGGCGGGAATCACGGCTCTGACCCAGCCCGTGGCTCGCAGCCCTTGGACGGCCATCAGGCCACCCAGCACGCGTGTCCGCCCGCTCTGGACGTGCCCCCCACCGAGAGGCACACACACAGCCTTCCAGCAGCCGCTCTAAGCCGCGTGTCCCTTCAGCGGTGCTGGCTAACAGGATTTGCAAGGCGTCCCGACTCTCCCTAAAAATAGCAAATCCCCCCCGAGTCCAGTGATGGTCAGCGATACCTTAATGCGGATTAAGCCGAGGAGGCGGTGGGCAACTGGGCCTCCCAGGGCCGGCTCCGGGAACTCCAGGGGTGCTGCCGGGGCCACCTGGCCAGCAGGGGACCACACCACAAGTGCGCCACGAGATCAGGGAGAGGATGGGGGGGGAGGAAGGGGTTAACGGGAAAGTGTGGCCACAGCCCCCAAAGGCTGGGGGAAGGGGGACGAGCCCGGGCCTCCATCAGGCTCAGGGCCTCTCTTTCGTCAGCGCTGTGCAGCCCTGAGCAAACGAGTCACCCTCTCTGAGCCTCAGGCACCGCGGGGACACCTGCGACTCCCACCCTCGCAGGGCACTGGGACAGTCAAATGAAACCCGTAGTGACTGGGAGGCCATCAGGCTGGATGGGTTGTTGCAGCATGGCGGAGCTGGAGTTTCATACTTCCCCCTTTAAATGCATTCATCAGCACTAGTTATTTTTGTTAAGATTTATTCATTTGAAAGGCAGAGTTCCAGAGAGAGAAAGGGAGAGACAGAGAGAGAGACAGAGAGAGAGAGAGAGAGATCTTCTACCCATGCTTCACTCCCCAAATAGCACAATGGCCAGGGCTGCGCCAGGCCAAAGCCAGGAGCCTGGACTCCATCCGGTCTCCCACACGGGTGCAGGGCCCAAGGACCTGGGCCGTCCTCCGCTGCTTTCCCAGGCCGCAGCAGGGAGCCGGATTGGAAGTGGGGCAGCCGGGACTCTGGTCCTGATGGTGCTCTGACATGTGATGCCGGCGTCACAGGTGGCAGCTGAATGACGGCCCCAGGTTCTCGTGCAGTAATGGAGAACAGCCAGCTGATACAGTACACGGCGAGCACATTGCAAACGCGTGTACCCCAGCCCCGCTCGTCCACTTCCGACACTGATGAGGCCCAGCTGCACGACCGGAAGTGCAGGCGTGGGAAAGCTCCCCACCCCCGCCGCCCCTCCCTGGGAGGGCTGCACGTCCCACCCCACGGCTGGCCATCAGCTCTGGCCACCTGGTTCGTTCTAGCCAAGAACCGTGTGGGGAATCGACGGGCCGCAGGTCAACACCTACTTCTTCTTCTTCTTTTTTTTTTTTTTTTTTTTTTTTTGACAGGCAGAGTGGACAGTGAGAGAGAGACAGAGAGAAAGGACTTCCTTTGCCGTTGGTTCACCCTCCAATGGCCGCCACGGCCGGCGCGCTGCGGCCGGCGCACCGCACTGATCCGAAGGCAGGAGCCAGGTGCTTCTCCTGGTCTCCCATGGGGTGCAGGGCCCAAGCACCTGGGCCATCCTCCACTGCACTCCCGGGCCACAGCAGAGAGCTGGCCTGGAAGAGGGGCAACCGGGACAGAATCTGGCGCCCCGACCGGGACTAGAACCCGGTGTGCTGGCGCTGCAAGGCGGAGGATTAGCCTAGTGAGCCGCGGCGCCGGCCAACGCCCACTTCTGAGAGCCACCGTCCTGCTCTCCCTGCCACGAGACCAGCACTGTCTCGGGTGGGCTGCTCTGCCGTGGCGCCCAGGGGACAACAGCACAGAGCAACGCCACGGCCAACAGGTGAGGGTTGTGCCACGTGGGTGAGGAAGCAGCAGAGCAACCTCCATGTCCAGCAAACGAGCAAACCACACGCCCCAGCAGAACGCAGACACCAGCGAGCGGACGCCGGGACAGCAACACATTCTCGACACGCTGCTGCCTCAGGGAGCAGGTATGACACTGCGCCACGAAGGATGCGTCCCCAGAGCTTACGAGAAACCCAGAAGTCAGCGAGGAAAAGATAACCCACCCAAAAGGAAATGGGAACGGAACCACGCAGTTAACTCACAGCAGCCGACATCAGGAGGGAAAATGGAATTAAAACACAATTTTATTTGGGGCCAGCGCTGTGGCGTAGCGGGTAATGCCGCCGCCTGCAGTGCTGGCATCCCATACAGGCGCCGGTTCTAGTCCCGGCTGCTCCACTTCTGGTCCAGCTCTCTGCTCTGGTCTGGGAAAGCAGTGGAAGATGGCCCAAGTCCTTGGGCCCCTGCACACACATGGGAAGAAGCTCCTGGCTCCTGGCTTCAGATTGGAGCAGCTCTGGCCGTTGCAGCCAACTGGGGAGTGAACCATCGGATGGAAGACCTCTCTCTCTCTCCCTCTCTGCCTCTCCTTCTCTCTGTGTGTAACTCTTCCAGATAAATAAATAAATCTTAAAAACTTTTTTGAAATCCATGCTTTTTTTTCATAATTTGTATTTTTCAGGAGCTTTCTAAAGACCCCCCCCCATATGCCTGGATTTCAATTTTTATTTTCTTACATCAAAAGAAACTTATCTTTTAATTCTGTTTTCTACCAATTTTATTTACTTTTTAAAGAGTTATTTACTTGAAAGGCACAGTTACAGAGAGAGAGAGAGAGAGAGAGAGAGAGAGAGAGAGGTCTTCCACCTGCTGGTTCACTCCCCTGATTTTCCACTGCTATCCCAGGCCACAGCAGAGAGCTGGATCAGAAGAGGAGCAGCCGGGACTCGAACCAGCGTCCATATGGGATGCAGGTGCTGTGGACAGGGCTTTAGCCCGCTGAGCCACAGTGCCGGCCCCTTCCACCAACTTTCAGAAGTGCCCTCGGGTGCTGAAAAGACAGCTTCGCTAGGACTCAGCGCAGCGGGCGTGCAGCTGCTGTTGGGCCCGCAGCTCAGTGGGGTGTGGGGACGGAGTGAACTCGCTGGTCCCCGAGAGGAGAATGAAAACTGGCAACAGCTGGGAGATGGAAGGGCCCCTCAACCCCACCGCTGGCTACCCACAGAATTCTGACACCCACAGAATGCTCAGGGTGCACCTGCACCAACGCCCCACTGCCGCCCACCAGCCACCCTCCCCATGCACACTTCTTGTTATCCCAGGGTTTCTTTGTGTCAGGAATGCAGGCACTGGGAAGCTCGCTCACCCGGCCTCTGGCAGGCTCAGTCCCTCTCCACAGGGCCACGTCCCAACAGGACACCAGGCAAGGGATCCAAGAGAGGGAACAGAGAGAGGCCGCCAGGACAGAAGCCACAGTCCTGCAGAGCCCAGGGTGCAGGAGCCAGGAGGCAGGAGCCAGGTCGCTGGGGGCCGCCCCGCTGTGTGCACAAGGAACCAACAGCTGGCACGGAGTTCATCATAATGGTGAGCCAC